ATATATATATATATATATATATATATATATATATATATATATATATATATCGTAGCATTTGTAACGTAACATAAAATGAACATAAAATAAACATAATAAAATGAATTTAATTTCATGGAAAAACTGCAAGAATCTTATTTACGTACCTACTTTTGTACTATAAAATTATTATAATTTGTTAATACTCGCAAAAGTATTTTGATACGTTATATATAACTTAAAAATATTTTTCCTTAATTTTCAAACAGCATAGCTGCTTTGAACACGTATCACAATTGTCTAAATTTTTTTGATAATTAAAATTTTTTGAGATTATAAATCTTCTTATTCAGAATCAGATTTCTGTAACAAATTAATTAGTTTTAATACTAAATTAATATATATTTGTATATATGTTTAAAACTTACCTCATTGTCCTTCAACATATTTGCCTGAGTTTCTAAAGGTTTTCACGATTCTTTGTACTCCACATGCTCTTGACTTCTTTGTCTATTACATATATAATTATGTATTCTATATTATACTTTTTAGATATATGAATATATCTAAAACTATGTAATCCATTTATCAATACTCACGGTCCTGTATTTGCAGTGTTTTAAATTTACTGTCGATATTTTGCAATTGACTCGTCGACGTATTTTCTATAGTCGTTGAAAGTGACATTTGCATTTGAGCAGATTCATTATCTTCATACGAAGTATTCGTTTTGGACCCACGCGTTATTACTCCTTTATTAACCGGTAATCTGAAATAAAAAATCATTATATTAATGCTAAATGTACCACTGCATTTTCAAGCACAATCTATAATTTTTTTAATTATGCATCATTGTTGTTACTTTCGCTTATACTTAATTTGATAAAAGCGAGAAAAACAAATTACTCACTGGTTCTTCTGACCATGTTTCTTTTTATGTTCGCTAAAACAGCCAATTTCACCAAATAAAAATGCAATTATTTCGATTTTCCGAGGTAAAGAAGTAAAAATTTGGAAAATTTATATAAATCTTATATGTACATGTATAATCAATATATTCTGAGCAACACAAAGCATTAGGTCAATGTTGCATCTATAGCAGTTAATACAAAGTCTCTCTATTTCTCTCTCTAAAGATCATTGGCTAATGTAAATATATTAATGCTGCTTAAATCTTTAGAAATAATAATTATTAATTTTTTTCTTCTTTGTATATATATATATATATTTTTTTTTTTATTAATAAAACTTATTAGTTTAAATTTATTAGTAAAATTTATTAATAATTTTTATTAATATTGTATAAAATCTATAATTTATTTATAAAACTTTATTTATAAAACTTCAATATTACGAATTAACGCTGTAACGCTAAACTTGTAAAAATAACAACTTATCAATTTGACCTTCTGAAAGTTACAAGAACAAATAAACCGAATTCTTATTGATTTTTGGAGGCTGAAAGTAAGTCTGTCCTCTAAATGACTATCACGTCAAGTTTTTGTCCTCTAAATTAGCCCATCATGTCAAATTTTTTAATAATCATCAAATCAAAATTGAGGTTTTAATATCTCATAAATCTAACAATTTATGGACCATTAAAAATGATAGCAGTTTTTTGGAGTTTTAATTATTCGAATTTATTCATCCATTCATTACTCAAAAATCTGATGTGATAGAGTCATTTAGAGGATAGACTTATTTTCAGCATCCAAAAATCCTTAAAAAATTAGTTCATTAGTTGTAACTTTCAAAAAATCAAACTTTATAGGTCTGGTTATTTTTAGGTTATTTTTTAGGTTATTTTTATAAGTTCAACGTTATAGCGTTAATTTGTATATAATACTAGTTTCATAAATAAACTATAAATTGTTTACAGTACTAATAAAACAAATTTTATTAATAAAATATTGATACAGAAAAAAATATATACACAAGGTGGAAAATAAGATTAGTAATTATTATTTCTACAGATCTACACTCTGCAAATAATATTAATATATTTACGCTAGTAATAAGAAAAAAATATGCTTTATAATATGTAGAACGAATTTGCACTTTTAATTTTATGAATAGTATATACTATTATATAGGATACTACTATACAGGATATAGATCATATTGCAAAAGTAAATTATTTAATTTATATCGCAATAATAATTGAGCACAATCAATCTGCTCAGTCAATACTGATCGCGTTATCAAACAATTACATGTAACAGTTACTTGCAATTACAGTAGAGCCTGTACTAATAATTAATAAGTTTAATAATTAATTAATAATTAATAAGTTTGATAGAAAAAAGTAATTATATATTAATCTTTATTTAGGAATACATAACTCACCTTGAAGACTCATGATTAGAATCCTCATTAGGTTTATCTGCTTTCTCTTTCTCTGCAAAAGAAAAATATATTATTGTTTAGACCAGTGTTGTGAGTTAGTTGCATATTTCGAGAAAATTTCTGAGAAAGCGCGTACTATTTCTCACTACTGCTCCAGACTCGACAGTCGAGTTTCCAATTGCGCGTGAGATGCTCTGCTTGAGGAATGTTCTCATATAAGAAATATGCTAGAATCGTACCTTTTGTCAAACCGTCATAAATACAATTTCCTTGCTCAATAACTTTTATTTTTACACACACACACACACCACACACACACACACATACACACACATATATCAGTGACAATTATATTAAAACTCTTAATTATTGTCACTACTACATCATTATATTAAACAGATATATGTATAGAATATATTACAAATAAATGTAATATTTAATTATTTATGAAAATAAGAATTATTGAACAAAGAAAATATTTTAATGGTTTAATGGAAGATGTGATTTCAACATATTTCATATGTAGGAACGTTTCTGAGACAGATCATCTTACGCACGATTGGCGGTCGAGCTTGCAGCGGTAGTAAGGGGGTAGTAGGCGTCACCTCCGAAATCTATCCGAAATGTGCAACCAATTCTCAGCTCTAACTTAGCTCTAACTTATGTGAAAAATAATAATATAAAATTATTAAAATTTAATACTTTCACGCACAGTTATAATAAATTTATAAATTGATAATTTTTATCTGTCTCTTATTTAATTAACTTTGGATATTTATAATGTAGTCGCAATTGCGTTTTGAAGTCATAATCTGTGAATTGATCATGTACCTATTTCCTTCCCGCCACTCGTGCAAAATGACAAGTTTTATCGACAAATTCAATAAAATTTTTTCATTTTTCACGAGTTTCACGTAAAAAGGATATGATCAATTCATAGATTAGTGTCACGATTTTAAAACATAATTATGATAGGATTATAGACGCATGCGCGATTCTTTACAAGTTAGATGTATGAATTCTAATAGGTTTACATATTTAAAATACTTTTGAAAATAGCATTAAGAAATCCTTTACCGGTTAACTGATCTTCTTTGTGTTTTATGTAAGCTTGTTTACGTGTCACTGAAATTTGATTAGTCTTGTTATGCAGCAAACTGTTTCTGTATAGAAACAAAGGTTGCCAGTTTTCATCTTGCGACGATGGCATTCTAGCTTGCAACTGTTTGTCCAGAAAGTTGAGACTATAATAAAATACAATGTGATAAAACGAACATAGAGAATAAAAATTAATTTCAATATATTTTAAATTATATTATTTCGAAAAAATGTTATTTAACTATATGACTTACACAACACGTTTATCCTGTACGAGAAGTTTATTCGTGAATTCGGACAATATCTCAAGGAACGGTAGATTCGGTGGTAGGCCTGTGAGATTTTGTTTGATATTGTCTGGTGGAGTAATAGCAAATAATATTCCCGAACGGTGCAGAGCTGTGATCGTTTCGCGATTTCCCACGGGATTTAAACCGAAGAATAGAATGAATTGTTTTGCGAGTTTCTGTAAAGAAACAAGTTCGGAGATTTTATCATACATTTTTTGCCTTGTTATACATAATAGAATAAATATATTAATATTTACGCACTCTGATTGCAATGAATTCTTCGCTGTTTCGGTTTATTTTGCCTTTTTCAATCATAATTTCATTGTGCAGAATGATTAAACTCTGTTGCATCGTTAGCGCACAATCTATTTTGTTGATATCTCTTAACTTCTTCAACATGGTTTTAATAATGTCGCCGTAATCATTGTAGTACTTCATATAATGCTTGAATACATTAGCCGCGGCTTTTATGGGAATCATATTGTAAACGATTAGTTTGCAGTAACCTGCTAAAAAATTTCTTCGCTTGTGCAACTCCTCGATTTTGGAATACTTGTCGCGTTCATCTGCGAAATAAATTTCGATATATCGACAGTATATATTACACTGCAAGTTTCTTTAATGTAAGTGTTCACTTACAGTTCTCCTCTTCAAGGAAGACATACTTTTGTATAAATCTGCTGAGCATATTCTGCATTGCTTGGTCAGGTTTGTACACCAACTGATGCATCAAATGATTGGTATGTGCAGTCAGTTGATTGCAGAATATCACCAATAGATCACATATCGTATTATATGCTTCTTCTCTCAATATCGGCGATGACTGCTACTTGATAAGCAAATGCATAAATTTCATTTACAAGAAATTTGAGTTGCATAATTTTATTGTATAAAATGTATGATTACCGCGCCGCTACAGTCGCTACTAATAAAATGGCGCATTAAGCCCATAAACGAATGCAACCGTTTCTTCAGCTGTCGATATTCATCTTCGTCACGATTGTCAGGATCTACGACTTTCATCAGATGATTTTGTCCCCACAAAATAGCGAAGTAACAAGCACTTATGCAATATTTAGTTGCATCAAACGGTAAGCATCTACAACTAGAATCATATATGATATATCTGAAAATATTACACGCAGCTACAACGAATGTTGTACACAGCTATAAAAAAAATATACTTTGAAGGATTTTTCGCATCTTCTATGTTTTTGTACAGAGAGTCCCATATATTCCATTGATTCATATTGTTATAAGAATAAAATATGGAGACTTTCTTAAGCGACTGAATAACATTGAAAGTCTCATCTTCGTCTGGTACCTCATTTCTCTCTATCAAATTCCTGTATTCATCAATTGCTTCTTTATATTTATTTACAATAGAATCGATCAGTGTAAATCGAGCGACATCGCATCTGCACAACAATTATCAGATTTCTTTTAAATACCAGACAGTAAAACTAATTGTTTAAACAATAATAATATATACGTACCTAGTAAAGGTAGCATGGTCTTCCACACACATGTGTTCTAAAGTCTTAGCTGCCATGTCTAAGACTTCAGTGTCGTACATCTTTTCCACAATCGTATGAATTTTACCCAATAAAGAATCTAGATTTATCTCCTGCCTAGATTTCGTGTAAATATCCAGGTCAAAGTATTGCGGGATCTCGAGTAAATTGGTCAATTTTTCAGGATCTGCCCTGTACTTATCCAGCAGGAACGGCAACGTTTGAATAAAATGTTGTGTCAATTTTTGCTTATCGTTGTCAACTTTCTTAATTTTCTTTATTGACAGGGCCTTTCGAATGGGTCTACGGCCGACTGGTATCTCGCCTGTAGCGGCTTGTTTAATACAACAAACCATCAATTCGATTAAGGATACTTCCTTCTGATTGTCTAATGCTTCCTCCTCAGGACCAATCTCTTCCAGTAAAAGATCCGTCATACATTCCCAGTCTTTCATCATTTCATTAGTCTCGATCAGGGAGTCAACTAAATACGCTCCGTGCTCGTGTAATTCGGACTCGATGAAAAACAAAATTAGATCGCGTATAAGGGGCGTATTCGGCAATCGCTTTTTACCACGTCTAGTCTTCACATCCGCTATGTCATTGTTGTCTGGACGGAATAAGCATTCGTTCACGAATTCACCAGCCGCTCGCGCGACTGCACGATTAACCGAATAAACAAGCTCGTATACGTGTTCATTATCTTTATCGGTAAGAATCTCTCTATGATGTTTAAGCATCAAGATAACTAGCTTTATAGCCTGCACCGCAACGTTACAGTCCTTGTCCAACGTCATTGAGATAATTCTGTCCTTAAATTTACTGGTAAAGAGCTCAAGCTTTGTTTTGAACTCTTCCAAAGCGTACAATGGTTGCAATGCCTGCAGACACTTAAGCCTGACTTCTCCAACCTTGTCATACAACATCCAACCTGCAAAATTAAATGAAATTATTATAGTTTCAATTTTAAAATGTACAAGAATGATTAAAACAATTTTACACCTATATATTTCAAGTAGGAATCGTCTAAGAAATTCTGGTGGAATTTCTTCATCCAGATTCCGATTTCTGTCATACAAATTACGCGTATATCTGGTACAATATCCCTATATCTATGAACGAAGACCGATTTAAATATATATGTAAATATGTTCTTAATTTCCTCCATATTTCCTTCTAACTCTTTTCGTCTCGTCATTAAAGACTCCAATCTGCTTGCTGCCCTATTTTCTCGGGCTTTTTGTCTCTCAGCTTCGTACTGTCGTTGCGTGTTATCTGTATTTATAGAGACAGTCAAAGCAACGTCTACCAAGGCTGTCATTAACTTCATAGCTGTATATAAAACAAATGAAAGTTTTTCATTTAAGATACATAAAATTTAAGATGTATGTACGCTCGAGACGTAATTTTGAAGCCTCTTTGGCTTGTTCATATTTACCTGCAAGTGTTGCGGTATGCCTAAATGCTCTAACTTGTGAATCTGAGAGTCCAATTAACAAAGAAATAATGTTATCTATTATGTATTGATCATAAATGATAGAATATTGACACTGAAGAACCAGAATTTGCACAAACTGGCAAAAATTATCACGAAACTTTTTCCATTGTGATCCCATCATTATCAATGGATATTCATCACTTTCCTGCAAAATATATTTTACCAAATATATTTTACCAAATAGTCAAACTTGCATAATTATAATTTGTGTGAATACTAAAACACTTTAGCATACCTCGTCGAATTCTTCGGTCATTTTACGAATAATCGCTACATGTTCCATAGTAAGTTGCATTTCAGAAGTAATGCAACCTTTACAACCACTTGCACTGATAAAAAACTGCATTAACACAAGTAGCGCATTTCTTCTGTTGTTCTTGTACTTTTCTATCCAGTTATTAACAACAGTCTATCAAATAATATTTATATCAAATAATATTTATATTAAAAAAGACTTTAAAACCATTAAAGCAGTGTAAATTATAATTAATCAACGTACAATAAGGGAAGAAGGATTATTTCTAATAACATAGTAAAGACTATCTTCATCTTCCAAACTGAACAACTGATGTGTTGTTTCACCACTGCCTTTGTCTTCGCCAGATGATGGAGAATAATCAGTATCAGGTTGTTGTACCAAGTTTTCTTTCAAGTCAAGCATAGAAATATTTTTTTCAAATTAATCTCTATAAAGTTCTCCATATAAACATCTATGAAATATAAATTTACTCATACCACACATCTTGGCACGTTTATTTTTTATGGTCCTCATACTAGAAGTGGAAGGTGTAATGGAAACTTCAAATTGTGTCTGATTATCAAGATTTTCTAATTGTTCTTGCGACTGTTGAGACATATCAGATGAACCATAACTTTCTAAAGAATATTCTGGGCTACAAACATAAGACATATTAAGATTAGTTAACATGGCATAATATTTATTAGAATAATGATAGTGAATATTTATGCAAGAATATTTATCATGTAGTAAAGTTTGACTATAAAATATGTATCTGCTGTAAGAATTATTTGCATCTCCACTCGAATTGTCAATATGTATTATTACAATTCTTCAATTGCATAATTAACATGAACACAAAAGTAAGTAAAGAGAGAAAATGCATTATATTTATTTCAAAAAATATTTTTTATATTAAATAAAGTATTATGCTTTTACTTAGTGTACTAAATTATCTTTGTAAGAGGAAGAAGAAAACTACAAAATATAAACGTATGTTAAACATTTTTGTAACATTTTCTTGAATATTTAATTTTTTTGATGCATTATCTTTATCCACTTGTATTTTTATTTGTAAGCTATGTATTTATTAGTTACGCAAATAATTAATCTATTCTGCAGCATATGAATTATTACACTATAACTTCTAGTATAATAGTTTTCTATAATATAATATTGTGTTGTAATTTGTAAATTATTATAATTATTATCATTATTATCATTATTATCATCATTATTATCATTGCTTATTATATATATATATTTTTTTTATTTTACTACACTCAACATATATAAATTAAAAATGTTTAAAATTGAAATTTCAGAAATTAAGAATTCATATTAATTATGATTTAAAATAAATTTGAGGCTAAATAACTTATAAAGCAAGATCTGAAACAACTATCTTAATTTGTTTCGCTATGAGGTATTGTCATTGAAATGAAGAAAAGCATAAATTGGTATTTTTGTAAGAGATAAAATTGTATCTTTTTTCTGGAGAAGTTGGCGTTTATAAACGGAAAAAGCGCGTGAATCCAATGTCTCTTAGCAAAACTTGTAGTGTATTATTGTATAATTTTCCTTTTGAGTCATTATTACAGTGAAAATATATTAACAATAAAAAATCTATGTTTTATTATTTCATCGTAAATATCCGAGTAGCACAAAGCATTGGGTCAATGTAAAATCTACAGCAGCTGTCAGGCAAATATGTGCTGCTAGGGTAGAGACTCACCACTGTGATGAACAAGACATTTTGTCGATTACAACCTCCCTCGAGATGATTCGGTGTCTGTATCTTCTAAACCTCTAAATTGCGTAATTTGCTCGTTACGTCCTTTATATTGAAAAATACAAGTTTTAGATTATATTGCTTCCGCTGACGTATAAAGATGTCTTAAATTATCTGTCGTTTCCGCAAGTGGATTGATTAGATCATGAGCTGATTGCAACAACTCCTTCCACTATGCACGCAGAATTACTAATGGAAGCGATAAGTCAATTGCAGTAAAAAAGAAGACAAAAGATTCAAATCGGATTTAAATTCGGGAGTACCAATGACATGGTAGTCAGACCGCCAACCGCAGTAATGGGATATTGGGAGAATTATTCGCGCACGCGCATTGAGCAAACGTTATGATAGTGACACTAGGAGTACGGCAATGTTGCGAGTCGCGAGATTTTCTCCGTGACAGGAAGTTTTCTGCGCATGCGTACAGTGACGTGCGTCTACTATTGGATATCGTATCATTCGCGTATGCGCAGCAAGCCTCTTGCCGCGGATAAAATCTCGCGAACTTGCAGCACTAGGGTACGGTCCAGTAAGCGCTACAAATGCTTTGGCTGCGTTCGGAAACGTCACTCGAGTATTCTCCCTCTCTTTTTATCTCACTCTTGTATTTCGCTCACTATCCAACAGCTCGCTTTCCAACTGCTATCGTTTAGTAGTATGCACACAGGATGTTTACGATAAGTTGTCGGATTGGAAATCCGACTGAACAGTGGTACTCAATCGACCCATTTCAAAAAATTCCCTAGTTTAATCAGATTTTAGTAAAAGCTGTCTCAGCAGTAATTGGATTAGCTTCATGGCGACGTGAAGTGATACTTTGTCCTCAAGAGAAATAAAAAGATAAAAGTCGGTAGGTACGTAATTATTATTCTAATGATTAACGCTTATCATTTTCCTTATATATCAATATATGAATAAATGATCTGTTACACTTTTACTGATATTAAATTAATGAAAAGAAATATTAGTAATCTCACGTGTAGTAAATATTAACCTATAATAATATTGGATTTATGTCATAATTTCGTATGTAACAAAATAAGAACAGTATAAAATCTGTCAAATTAACATTTCAAACATACTAATTTTAAAATATATTAAGGACATTTATGCATTTATATATAGATACATATAAATATGTGTGCTTGTATATGTGTATGTTCATATGTGTAATTTATAATTATTTACACACTTATATTTTTATATAAAAAGAATATTTATATTTTTATAGATTGTGTATATATATATATATATACACACACACACGCACACACAATCTATAAAAATATAAATATTCTTTTTATATAAAAAAAAATATATATATATACACACCAACGCTACCGCGTTTTCTTAAATCTTGTTCTTTGTAGCTGCACTGCTGAACTGGTGCAAATAAAGAACCTCTAGTAAAGAGAAGGTACTTTCCAGTTGCGTACACTGTGTTACACAAAACCAGTTTATTGATTGCATATTATCTTACAAGATATTTTAGATAATATATGACCAATAAACTGGTTTTGTGTACGTGTGTGTCAAGATGTGTTAAGCAATTGGAAAGCACCCAGAATCGTCAAGCAGCTACTCTGCGATTGGCTGGCATAAACATGTACGGACCCCAATGCAAAACCATATATATAAAATAACCATCTTTTTTGTATTGGCGTCGCAATGTCCAAATCCGTACATGTTTATGCCAGCCAATCAGCTGGTCACATGACCATGTTGGCGATTCTCTTTACTAGAGGTTCTCTAGGTGCAATATATTGAAGTGAGACAAATATACGTTTTCTCATTCTAACTTATTGCACTAGTTCAGCAGTACAGTTACAAAGAACAGGCCTTTAAATTCTTTAGTCCATAGTCCATAGAACCCGACAACTTTTGTCTGAAACATTTTTGCTGAATACTTGGCTAAAGAATCATGAGGGTGAATCTTTTAAAATGGGACACCCTGTATGTATAAATTTGAAATTAAATCAAAGATTCGTGAGAGGTCGAGATCAATTTATATAACAAAATTTTTTATGAAATTTATTATATATATATTACATCTATCGTATTAAAATGTCTATTAAATAATACATATCATTTTTATATAAGCGTATATAAAATATATTATACATGATATGATGACCTCGATTAACCCTACGCCAATATTAAATGCAGATCGAGTATTCTGCAACGAGAATAAAGACTTATTCGACATAATATATTTGATACATATTATGTAAGCACCATTTGTTTTTAATTACATGTACATACATGTATGTCGCACATTCTAATTAACTCACTCGCACTGATCCCTTGTCTACAATTTTTCTTTAATTTTTAAGCCGTAGTAAATTGACCAATCACAGTCGACTATTTTAAAAATAATCAACTGTGGTTAGTCAATTTCTTAAGGCTTAAGAATTAAAGCAAGGTTGTGGACAAGGGATGAGAAACCGATTATTGCTGCTTTATCCAAGCACCGTGTATTATTTTTACACATTTACATACGCACCCTTTATGTCGGAATTATGTTATAATACGCAACAACATTTTGTACGTTTATTCTTGGTACTGATTGAGGTATATACAACTGATTCTCTCGATTATTTGTTAAAATATATCAATTCAAAGCTGTTATAATCGTTATTCCGGACGACTCATTCGATCCCGGACAGCGCAAGATCTCCAGAAGATGTGAGGACGTTCTTAGGACATAAGGACGTTCTCAGAACATCTTTCCTGTGAATATCCTGTGGAGATCTGTCTGGGATCGCTCGATCCCTTCGAGTTGTAGGCTCATATTCTGAACTCTCTTTTATCGATAAAAGTGCCTTGAATATAGCTTCTCAACCAATCAGGTGACTCCTAAGCCTCTTTTAGAGACACTTTTATAGATAAAAGAGGATTCAGAATATGGGCTGTAGTACACGAACACACCTCTAGTAGTAATGTTCATTGGCGTTACATTGAATATAATATTAATTACATTGGCATGCATTGGACCAATATAGCTAATACGGCTCTCGCCACTATCGCATTATCTTTTAAGGCGGATTCCTGAGGTAATTTGAAGAAAAAAATCCTAATGCAAAAATGTCGAGGCTATAATACTTTTCAAATTATAAACGATTAAAGTTGACCAATTATATTGGCTAAAGTACGCGCGCTCAGGTACGGTACAACGCAATGGTACAGATGCATGTACATAAGTGAGAATTTGCATAAGATATGAAATTATTGATTGTAAATCAATTATTGATTATTAATCAATTTGCATAAGATATGAAATTATTGATTGTAAATCTCTAAAAGAAACTGTTAAATGTGTGACAGCTTATTGATTCTCATAAATGTAATGTGTAATATTTTATTCATAACATTTTGACGAAATTGTTATTATTTGCGATATGTTTATTTAAATGATAGAAAAGGCAGATTATTATTACATACGTTTTTGTATGTATGGAACTTCCGTATCAATATTTGAAAAAGGGGCGACATGTGCATGTACCTGTACCATTGTGTGTTGTACCGTACCTGAGCGCGCGTACTTTAGCCAGTATAATTGGTCAAATTTAATCGTTTATAATTTGAAAAGTATTATAGCCTTGACATTTTTGTATTAGGATTTTTTTACTCAAATTACCTCAGAAATTCGTCCTTAAGAGATAATGCGGTAGTGGCGGGACATCCTGTATATAGCCAGTACTAATTATAAATAAAATGTAAATAAATTTCTAATATTGCACAATATGATTGTATATATGTACCGATATTGGCAACGTTGGGATTACATTTGACAAATAACCCAATATGTAGCCAATATTGGTAACAAATAGATTGCTAATATTCAGAATTTTATATTGGCTATAAAATGCATCTATTTTACAACTGGGTGTATCCAGTACTTCAACCGCTTTTGCATCTGATTAATATGTATTTTTAGATCTAAAGAAATGTGCTAATCGGATGCAAGAGTGTTCAATAAACGGTTGTAGTACTGAATGCACCCAATATTGGGCCAATACCCAGTGAGAAATTACTAGTCGATGTCCAAACGATATTGAATCAATGTCGCTTTGACGATTTCAATGAGTAATTTCTCTCTGAGTATTGGATGTATTGGAGTCCAATTTGTAGCCAATATTGCTCCAATGAACTGTCCTATTAAAGGCTTTATAGACTTAGAATATATATATACATGGAAGGGGAATATTGTTGTTGTGAATAAAAAATGTGTCCAAGTTAGGGCCTTTGCACGTAAAAAAATTTTAACCGTAACCGTAAGGTCGTAAGAAAATTGGCTAATTACAGTAGATTATTCCTCAAACGCAAGGAAAATAATCAACTCTGTTTGGTCAGTTTTCTTACGACCTTACGGTTACGGTTAAAATTTTTCTACGTGCAAAGGCCCTTATATGTGAGAGAAAAAAGAGATAAGGACTAAAGTCCTCTATACACATGCGCTAAAATTACACAATAACCGTTGAAATTATTGGCTGGCAACGATTTCTACGCATGCGTACAGAAGACGATTAGTCCATATTTCTCTCTTTTCTCTCTCCGCAACCTTTCTCTTTTGCACACAACTTATAAGTTAGACATTTTCAGTGTCCGCACTCCACTTCCATATACACAGAGTACCATTTCAACTTAAACAGTCAACTTCTGAAAATTACGAGGTTTTAGAAAAAATGTTTATTACAAAAGTTTTATAACTTCGAGAAGAAAATGGTGCCATTAATTTGACCTTAGATGATTGTTTCAAGATTGTGTAAAGGTCACCTTAAATTTCTTAAATACAAATCCCCATTTTTCATTACATATTCTTATAGCTTACTTCGAGACTTTTTCAAAACATTATAACAAAGTATTTTTTCATTAAGTACTTTTCGAGTTATAAAGCTTGAAATTTACAGTACCGCCGGCACCACCAAAGGCATAGAAATCAAATTGGCAAATCAGGCAGAGGTATATTTGCATATATTCTGTACAGTACAGTGGCAAATTTTAAGAGGCAATTCGACTCTGTATTGAGCAGAACGGTAATAATTCCGAATAATTGTTGTAAAGGACGCGGTTTGGAGAGTGCGTTTGGAGTAAAAGAGTACCACGGAAGTGACAAGCCGTGTTATCCATGTTTCCATTCGAGTGCGAACGCGAACACACACACATACGCATGCACGCACGCACACAAAAGAAGCGTAAATCCGACCGGCAACCTTCGTGTGATACACCTTGGATAATGTTAATACCGACGGTACTGTAACTTTCAAACCTTATAACTTGAAAAATATTTAATAAAAAAAATACTTTGTTATAGCAAATTAATTGTTTAAGTTAAATTAATTGAAAATTAATTGTTTAAATTAAAACGAGACATACTGTATATATATATATATATATATATATATATATATATATATATATATATATATGTTCTAAGTTTATAAGGTGCGTTCGGAAAACGCGTTACCAATGTTATTCTATCTTTATCGTTTTTTAGATATACAATGACAAAGAATTGAATGACACGGTAGTTTTAAATAGCGCTAATAACGAGCTCGTCAAACGTACTGAAGAAAGTACGGGTGATGAGTGATTAGTGATTGAATTTTCTCATGCAGATTTGGATTTTTCAGTTTTTTCGCGTTGCACGACACGTTATTTCGCGACTTATCCGCCCGAAATTCTTCGATGTCATATTTATGCCATCGATCGACACGTGTTCAGTGAGGTATATAGATCAATATGCGACCTGAACGATACGAGAGTCAAAAAGATGTTCTGAAGACGCCTCAAAAACCAGAATCTAGATAAATTAATTAAATATCGATAAGTTATAGTTGTATCTTAAAAGAAAAACGATCAGCGTGTCCATCTCTTTAGTTTATAGCTATGAAAATCTTGTGAACGTTTCAAAATCTTCAAAACTCTTGCAAGCTCAACTGCGGGAGTCTCGTTCCCGAATCACTAAAATGATAATTAAACTAGCTATCAATTCACATTATTAATTAATTCATTCATTTATTTATTAATTAATGAAATACTGATATGACTTGACGAGTATTAATTTAGCTTGATTAATCAAACAAATTGTATCAATTAATTAATAAATCAATATAGAATTGCACGTTATTCTTAAATTCCAACAAACTCTAAGATCTTGGAAACTGAAGAGACAGACACACGGTCCTTCTCTTTTTCAAAATATATAAATATTAGATTAATTCCAAAATCTTCTTCCTTGAAATACACATTTCATTCGTCGGCGTATTTCTATTTGAAAACTGCTTTGTTTATATTAACACCACAGGAAAAAAACCCTTTAGATCAGAATACAAAATTTACTCAGATTCGCATATTTTGCGTCATCGTCATCAACTTTTTTGGACGCTCGCGTAGTCCAGCGACCGATCGACGTCGATTATCTGTCTAACTTGCTCTCCGACGGGCAACCGACGTAAACAGGTAGCGGCGAGTTATCGTAATATCCGTAGATCTGCTGCGAAGGTGGCGGCGGCGGACCCATGGTGTGCATCACATGCATCGGTTGCACATACGGCATCATCTGCACCGGAGTGGCTGGCACTGAGCCGTTACCTCGTCCCAGAGTTGAGCCGTTGTACGATCCCACGTAGAGATCATGGTTGATCTTACCCGAATAAGCGCTGGCCGGTCTGATCATCGACGCCTCGTGGATGCTGGACGCCACCGCCGCCATCCGCGCCTCGTTCATCTGGCTGCTCCACCTGAGCCGGCAGATGCAGATCACGATGACGATAATCGCAATGAACGCCACCACGCCACCGACGATGCCGATGATCAGAGTGTCGTCGGTGCTCGACATATTGCCCATAGTTGAAGTACCTGTCCCGTGAAATCATCGTGAAAAAAAGATTCATCAAGTAAAAAACTTGCGATTACAAACAGTTAATTCGAATTGAGGCAATTAATATGTTGACTGTCATGATCATCACCAGTAGCCGACCTATAATATTGTTATGTCTCGATTCATGTATAAAATTCATGTATAAAACGCAGGATTAGAGTAAATAAGTTAATATTTTTCTTTAATTAGAAGTTAAAACTTAATATGTATGTAACTAATCTAAAAATTTAAAAGTTGACTTATTTAAAATTGACTAATTTAAAAATTATCAACGTTTAACTAATTAACTGGTTTTTTATTTTTTATTTTTTTATCGAACTCTGATAAAATATAACCCAACTTCGTATAACGAATTAAAACATGAGTTAAATATATGTATGTATTGCGAATTGCATCTATTTATCGTTTCTTTGAGGATTCAACTTGAATTAAATGTTAAAATAATTAATGGAATTCAGCATGGCAGTCAACATGTTAAATAACTTCTTAGTTAAAAGTTATATGGTTACTTAAACATACTTCTAGATAATTGGAAATGGTTATTTAATTAACTAAATACTTCTAAATATTTATAAATAATTATTTATAATTAACTAAACTCTTCTGTCAAATTAATTTAAAAAATTCTTCGCTCGTGATTAGAATTTACTTCAGCTTCTAACAAAACGGCCGACGACTCACCCGTGTGATCGTTATTGTAATGTTTGTTCCGACTATTCTGCACCGTCGGTGCCACAGTCCAGATGATCTCGGGCTCGGATGTGGTTGACCTCGTGGACGGTGTGGTTTCAGTCGTCTGCGGTTTGGTAGGTGTCGCGCGTTCGCATGAGAGATACTCCTCTGTGAGGTTGCTTAGCGTCATGTCGGCGAGATAATCAGGACTGGAGCAGATGATGACAGGCGCTTTGTTGCCCCACGACTTCAGCCATCGCCACAGGTGCTTGACCTCGCAGCTGCAGTTGATCGGATTGCTGTCAAGGCCCGTGATTCTCACGGAACCGCCGCGCTCGTCCAAGGCAGCCAACAGCTGTGCCGGTAGATTACTGAACTTGCTGCCGGAGACGTCGAGCTCAACCTGCGTGGAGCGTGGCACCGGGAAGAACAAGGCGGTCGGTATCGAGTCCACGGACGTGTCCTTGAGACCCAAAAACAGTCGTGGGCCGCGAACACCGACCAATGAACTCGAGAGCACGTTGCGCAACCTTTCACCACGTAACGTCAGCTCTCGCAGGTGTGGATGAGTGCGTACAGATAACTGCTCATTGCCCACTGACGAGTCTTTAATTTCGATGTCTAATGTCTCCAGGCTTGCTAGACCTTTAAGGATACCTTGCACGTCAAAGTAGCCCAGTTTGGGGTAGTTGTAGGCGTGCAAAGAGTGGAGTCTCGTCAGCGACTTGAACGCGTTCCTTTCAATTCGTGTGCAGTTCAGTAGATTGGCCATTCGCAAAGCGCGCAGCGCGCCCAAACCGTCGAAGCTGGTCTCGTTGACGGTCCTCATCTCATTGTCAGACACGTCTAAACTCCACAGCACCGGCAAGATCTTGAAGGTGTTGATTAGATTCGAGAAGTCCGCTAGGCGATTCTGCGACACGTCCAAAGTTTCCAACATCGTGGTGCGTTCCAACGTGGTCGGTTTGATGTCCGTGATAGCGTTACTGGATAGATTCAGGTGCTTCAAGAACGGCGTCTCCAGCCGCGGCATTGTCCTGATGCCAGTGCCTGCGAGATTCAACGATCGCAGGATCTTCGCCTCGCCTAGGATGCCGCGGATCGCGTTCTCACTGAGCGGGTTCTCAGACAGGTCGAGTTCCTTCACGTTGTTAACAATGTCCTGTGTGAACACTTCCACCATTCTATTTCGCGCCATCCGCAAGCCGATCAACGACGACGACTGTCGTTGTAGCGCGCGGATCGGTATCTCGTTGAAGCGATTGCCGGACAGGTCGACTCTCTCGACCGCGCGAATCCTGGACGGATCGAAGATGGTCTCGGGCAACGAGGTGAGTCGATTGTCGTGTAGATCCAAAGACTCCAGCCGCAGCAGACCCTCCATCGTGCGTTCGCTTAGTGTCTCGAGTACGTTGCCGGAGAGATCTAGCGATTGCAGCTGCGTAGAGTTGTGGAAGGCCAATTCGTCTACCGACTCGATCTGATTACCAGATAGATTTAGTACATGCAGACGTCCCATCTGCGAGAACGCAAACTCGTGCACGTGACGCAACGCGTTACGCGACAGATCCAACCGCTCAAGGAACTGCAGCGACTTGACGAAGTCGCTGGGAAAGTGGACGAAGTAATTATCCGACAGATCCAGTCGCCGGAGTCGCGGATGAATGACGAAGGCGGTGGGTGACAACTGGCTAATGTGATTGTTCGAGAGATCGAGCACCTCCAGGCCGGTCCCGGTATTGAAATGCTCGCCAACGAAAGATGTGAGACTGTTGCCGCGCAGATTCAACGAGTAGAGATTTATCAGGCCAACGAACGCGCCGTTGTCGATGCGCTCGATCATGTTGTACGAGAGATCGATCGCGGTGAGATTGTACAAATGTTGAAACGTGCCCTCGTCAATCTCCTGCAACTGATTCCCGGCAAGGGAGATCTTCTCCAAGGACTCGAGGTTCAGCAGTAACACGGTCGGCAAGATCCTCAGGTCCGTGTGTGAGATGTCGAGGTTGATCAGGGAGGACGGGAAGATCGGCGGGAAGCCGCCGTATAACGGATTGCTGCTGAGATTCAGATATTGCAACCGGTGCAGATACTTGAAAGTCTCCGGTGACACGCGCTTCAGTTGATTGCCCGCCAGGTTGAGCGACAGTAGATTCCGCAGAGGTAGCTCGGTGATGGCGGTCAGTCGGTTGTACGATACGTCCAAGTTCAGCAGGGTGTCCTCCAAGCCGGCGAATGTGTTCTGCGAGATCATGGACAGCATGTTGCCAGACAGTTCGATGCTGATGAGGTTCTCGAAGTTGTAGAAAAGTCTCGGCGGAATTTCGCGGACGAGGTTGCGCGTAAGGCCTAGTGTCACGAGATTCGTGGATGTGGCACGGATCAATTCGGTAGATAACGCGGCGATGCGGTTGAACTGTACGTGCAGGTGCGCCAATGAAGGTAATCGCGTGAGCGCCGCGGCCGGTACCAAGAGAATGTTGTTGTCTTGCAGCGACAGCCATTTTAGCTTTGTCAGGCCCTCGAAGGACGATTCTTCGATCTGTAATGGATTAATGATAAGAAGTATGATAATATTGAAAAGGATATATGAAAGAATTTACCATATTTTCATTACTATTATGTATATATTCAATATATATATATATATATATATATATATATATATATATATATATATATATATTCTCTTATATATATTATTCAATATATATTTGCACTTCTGGGTAGTGATGGATAGCTGTAACCGGTCCTGCTTAAAAAATCTGATAAAGATTGATAAAAATACATACAAATTTCATTGAAATACTATATGACATTTTATCATTTCTATTGGAAATTTTAATTTCTCACATTTCAATTCAAATTAAATGTTATTAATTTCTTTCGTTTTATATCGTAGCTTACTTTTAATGATTAAATATATTTATAGCTTCTTTTTATATGCGTTCCAAAAATATTGAGAAAGTTTCATATTTCTTGAAAAAAATTGCTTTTGCGTTTTATTTTTTGCTCTTTAAATTTCTCACACTTTCTTGAAACCTTTTCTACATTATACCCTACAGTATCTACAGTATGATGAAAGGAAAGTACTTGAAAGGTTATTTATAGGATATAAAGAAACAAAGAGAGAGAGAGAGAGAGAGAGAAAGAGAGTTTATTTTTGTGATTTATATATATAAAATTCCACAAAATTTATATAAATTTATTTTAAAATTTATTTAAAATTTATTAAATATAAATTTCCAACCATTTTTTTCAATGTATATCCTAGTTAGACAAGACTACCCCGGGAAAAAAGTTCATATATAATTATATAAAAATATATATAATTATATATAATTATATATAAATTTTGTCCATACATATGACCTTATATATGACTACGTCTAATTATATATGTCCATACATAAAACAAATACTATTGAATGAAAAAAGGAAAACATAATTTGATTCAATTAAATGTCGATATCATGGGTTGTAGCATAAGCTACAAATATAATCATTTACTTCAGTTGTATCTTCACAACAACAATATACTTTTCAATGTGGACATATATAATTATATATCATATATGGTTATATATAAACTCTTTGCCGGATACTATATGGTACTTCTTCGATTCTGGTAAATGTTTGTATGTACGAGAAAAATTTTCTACGTGGATGGTCCTTGATAAGTTCTCCGTGGTTCCCCGTTGTGAAGCCACGCTTTTTTTCTCCGACGCAATCGTTAACCCGGATGTCTCAACCCAAGATCGGTCGATAAGTTTACAAACAGGTCATGCGTCATGAGATCAGCTTGCAATGTTATAGCCGTTCCCATGACAAATTTCGCCGCGTAACGTACGTACCGTGCGCAGCGCGTTCAGGCTCAGATCCAGCCTCGTGAGAGCGGAAAGACTGGAGAACGTATTGACCCCGAGCCGGCCTATGTTGTTCCGGCTGAGATCCAATACTTGCAGCTCGGTCAAGCCTGTCAGATGTATCCGTTCTATTTCCTGCGGAAGAGAGAAGAAGTCGTTCGTAGAGGCGTTAAATGCAGGCTGCATCTCGCGGACATGTGATTTTCGCGAGATGACAAACGAGATAGCAGGGTCGGAGCAGCGATGACAATGGGCGTCATCAGCCGGCGGTGTATACTCACGGTGATGAGGTTGTTGGATATATTCAAGAATTTCAGGTCCGTTAAGTGTCTTAACGCGTCGGTGGGAAACTCCCGGAGGAAGTTAGCCGAGAGATCCAGCTGCAGCAGACTGAATGCCCCTGAAACCGTTAGAACGCAGTGGTTAGAGAGTTTGGTTTAGAGTTCTTGTTCTCTTTTCCCCTTTCTCTATTTCCGCTGAAATTCATTGCTGAGTTTGAGCAGAGGATGCCGCCGGTACTTTTGTCACACGAAATTACGCGACAACACGGGGAATTCCGAGAGGCAATGGAAGAAACGTCGTGACGATTCGCGCGACGACGATGACGACGACGACTCAAGTCGCAATGGGCGTTTCTTGCTTGCACAAGGAAGTGTAGAAGTGATGTCTCGTGAGAGCATTGGGCGTGTGGGAACGTGGATTAGAGTTCATTATTCCGTCGAGGTCGCGTCGGAAGGCGCGTGTTCTCTTCCTTCGTGCGTAGACCGACCTCTCGCGCTTTCGTGACGCGCTCACTGTCGAGGCTGTCCCGGGATCTTCTCACGGCTTGATTAGCGCGAGTATTTTTACACGTGAATCTAGGAAATGATGCCTGCTTCCGGAAAAATCGGTTACACGGTCGCATACGGCCGCGGATATGGTTCATTCGAGAGTTTGATTTCGTCGTCGGTGGAAGAAATGCGACAACGTGTATGAGAAAAGTGATGCAGCTTGTCCATTTTTGTCGCAAATCTAACTCTTGGAAAGAAAAGTATGGAAGAACCTTGCCCATTTTAAGCTCCTTGCAACTAATGAATTGCAAACTGATCGATAAAGGCAGGTTACACTCAGAAAAATGTGATAATGGCAACTATACGAGTTTTGTATGTAGGATCGTAATGTATATAGTTTAATAAACTGTATACTTTAATTCGACGTACAAAACTCGGATAGTCATCACCTACATAATTGTCATCGCTATCTTTTCTCTGTGAATTTAATTCAAAATCTAATATTTATCTTCTGCAGGCCTTCTAACATCTCTCTCGCGTATCCTAGATAGAGCCATTTGATGTATTTTTCTGATGTTTCAAAGAGTACGTGGTGATGATATGAGTGAAGGAAATCAAAGATCGTTCAATTAACAATTGAAATTAGAAAATTTAATTAGGTAATTTAATTGACGATTGATATAAGCAAATTCAATCAAAGAATGTTTGATTGTTCAAAGTTACAACTAATTTTGTGGATAATATTCCTATTTAATTCATTATGGCATCGTATAAAATATCAATGATTAGGAAGTGGTAAGTATTAATACAAAAGCGGACTTGAGTTGAGAAGATACTAGTGATATTAATCAGCACCGAATAATTTTCAATTAAATCGATTGAAATTATATCAATCCAAGTTAAACAATCTTTAATTAAATTTGCTAAGATCAATTGTTAATTAAACGGTTTTTGATTAAATTTGTTAAGTTAAATTATTAATTGAACAATCTTAAATTCCCTTCGCTCACATTAATCGTGAACTGAAGTCTTTAGTCGAGTTTGTTGAAACAAATCGTTAAATCAACATTTTTTTATTGATTCTACTCGAATAAATTAGTTCACAATTAGTTTAATTGAAACATATTCGTTCAAGTCAATTGCTAAATTGAGAAAAATTCTTAATTAACACTTTTACAAATCTGCTCAGAGAGAATGAGGGGGAGGGAGAGGAGCAAGAGAGGGAGAGAGGGAGACGAAGAAGAGAGTGGGAGAGAAGGAGAAAGAAGAAGGTGAGAGGAGGAGAGAGAGAGAGAAAGTCGAAATAAAAATGTATGAGATTCATTATAGTATATATCGCGACGATAGAAAGTTTAATCGTTTAGCCACATGGAATACTTTATTTAGTCAAACGCTTTTATTCGGGGAAAAAGATAAATATCTTTTTTAGAAGCAAATACTCTATAAAGTATAATCAGTTTACAGTCATATTTATTACTGAAATGTTATATTTATAATTGATGCTTCAATGGTAAGTATAATATACTACAATCAGTAAAATCTGTAAAATCAATAAAATCTCGCTGAAAAAATCAGTTGATGATAACGACTGTTCCCGTTATTAATTAATATTCCCGTAGCTTGCAAACGCAGATGGTGCTATCGCACGCAAGGTGCACGGAAGTCGTTAAGTTTACCGTTGCAAACGCAGAAAGTTAGTTACAATGTACAACAAATATATATAATATAAACAGAGCAATCAAGATATATATATATATATATATATATATATATATATATATATATATATATATATATATATACACGCGTAAAATCAATTTCGAAGTGTTAATCTAATGTTTTTTGTTTACTAAATATGTCTATTTTAAAAGTAAGAGATGTATCAACTTCTATTTGGAGTTTAACGAAAACAAAGTCACATAAAGAGGGAGAAAAATCGTTAATCTTAATGAATTTTTATAGATAAATATATTGCATAAATGGAGGAATTTTTATGGAATATTTAATATTGATATTATATTTTAACATAAAAATTTGAATATTAAATCAAATTGCGTGGAATATGTCGCATATACAATATATTAAATTTCAGATGGTCATTACAAAAAAACTGTGTATGATGACAAAATTCTGAGTTTATTTTCGAATTCTATGTATAAAACACATAATAATACACAAGCAACACATTAGAAATACTATGTAACAAACTGCCTGTTAAAAGTTTGACCGGTGAATTTCGAAAAGGAATAAATAATTATTCTTTTTACTGATTCTTAGAAACAGTAACATTGACTTTTCTTTCCAATTACAGTTTGCGATATAATTACAGACGGTCTGGATCTGTCTCATTAAATTACAAATTTGTCTTTTCCTGACTCATTATAATTCATTTTCAAAGTTCTCTGACTAAAAGTTATACTTTAACTTGGTAAGCTACTCTTTAAAACAGGTTACTTGAAATAAGAGAATAGCTCGGAACGATGAACGAAAAGCTTACCTCTGAAGACGTCGCTGTTGAATCGATTGAGGGAATTGTGCGAGATGTTGAAGAATAGCAAGTGTTGGACGCCAGAGAGAGCACCGTCCTCCATGTGAGACAATTCGTTGTTGCTGAGATCCAGTCGTAGGAGCGATTCACCTAGACTCGTGAAAGCATTTCGTGGAAGAGAACCTGCGAAATAAGAAACGATAACGATCAAAGGCAAGGAAAAGGAGGAAAAGTAAACCTCCAGCTCGATATTTGCGCGAGAAAAAGGCGCGTACACTATCATTAGACACTTTTATACTCGAACGATAACTGAAGATTCAAACGACAAGGATGTCTCTGGGAAAGTCTGAAAGTTTTGTTCTCTCATGGAAAAACTCGAGCCTCACGCGAGCAACGTAATCCAGCCTACGTTAATCAACGTGCCGTAACTTCGCCGTAGGTACTTTGCTATTACGACGAGATACTGCTAATAGTTTCGCGAAAGAACGCAGATTCACCGACGACGTACAGTCATGTAATACGTGATACGCGGAGAAAGTCAGGCGTGAAAATTCTTGGTACCAAGAGCCGAGCGTCTTCTCTCCTCGTTAAATTTTCTCTCAGCAGCAACATACACGCGCCGATGGAAACACGACACATCCGCGATTTTCTTCTCGCCGCGAAACACGCTCTGATAACCGTGTAAATCGTTAAACATTAAAAAATCGAGTTTGTTTCACCACCACAGCAAAATGTTTGTCATTCAGTGAATATCGCTGTCATTTATTTTTAAAAAAATCGACTCTTTCACACAAACGAATTTTCGTAAAAATGGGAGACACGGGAGAAATCACGTGTCACACGGAGAGAATTATTATAGTTTTTTCATACAATTCTTGTCTAGCTTTTTTTCCTTTCTAACTATGCTTCTTTTCTCTAACAAATAAATTCTTTTATAGCTTTTTTCATACAAATCCTTCTCAATTTTATCATGTTTTCTAGCAATACAAGACTAGACTAACAATAAAGTTTATCTTGCTAAAGAGTATAGTAAATGTTTTGAAAGGGAAGTTCTAATTTTGATAGCCGAAAAAATAGAATTTTACAAATTTTGTCCAAAGAAATGAATACAGATATCAATATAAAGTTTAAACCATACTATTTATCACTGCTTTAAAAAAATTACCTATTTATTTAAAGAAGATTGAAATTTCGTTGTTTAGGTTTTTCATGCTGAGCAAGATGTCGCTGGACGTCTCCAACTGGTGAGAAATATTACAATTCATGTAATAATTTGAAACAAATGGAACAAGAAAATTTTAAAAATATACTAAATTTGCTGGAAAACCGAAATCCTTCGGAAAATCTGTAAAATTAGTATTTTCCCCGGGATACTAAATAAAAAAGAGAGAGTGAGAGAGAGAAAACTTGTAATTTGTAAAGGCCTTTACTTACAAATTGCCGTAGCTGTAAAGTAAGACGTACCGTAAGAATCGACCAGTTACGATCGAGTATTTATCAAAATGGCGACTCGACGATTCTCAACGTAATTGGTCAATTCTTATAGTACAGCTATGGCAATTTGTGTGTGAAAGCCCTAACTTTGAAGAGCAGCCATTTTATTAAATTTCGACTTTTATAGCAAAGAAATTCATCTTGTCCAAGCTATCTGTTAAAAGTGTCCAATCACACCGCATTCAACACAAAGAAACATGAACGGAGAGGGGAATTCCAATTTTCTTTTAATAACTTTGTTATACTTAAAACAATGATAAATAGTATAGTTAAAATCCTATATTGATATCTTTATTCATTTCTTAGAAAAAAACTTATAAAGATCTCCTATGTTTCAACTAAAACTTTCCCTTCATAGTAGACCAGTTCTAAGAAATATAAAATAACACAAAATAAAATAATAATCTTTTAATAACAATATATATTTAATAATAATAAAATATATATAATAAAATAATAATAATGTTATATAAATAAGGAAGGATAATAAATTTAGGTAAAATATCAATATGTTTCTCGATTAAAAAAATTCGATAATAGTATTTATATAAATTCTTTCCAATTTTATCATATTTTCTATCGTTGCAGTAATAGACTGTCAGTTCATCTTGCAAAGAAACATGGTAAATTTTAATAATAAATTTCTCTCTTGAGTCATAAATAATAAAATAATTTTCCAATCTCATATAACAAAAAGGATAATAATTAAGACAGCATATATTTCTCGACTACGAAATTCTATATAGTAATTTTTCTGCAAAATTCTTTCGTTGACACTTTGCGAACGTACCGATGTTGTTCCCAGACAAAGAGAGCACCCTGATGGCGCGCGGCCCCTTCAACGAGGCAGCGGGCACCGCGGTCAGGTTGTTGCCGTCGAGGTAGAGCTCCTCGAGATTGTCGCACCCCTTGAGAATGCCCTCTTCGATACTGCGCAGGCCGTTCCTACTGAGATCGAGAATCTCAAGCTCGTTCATGCCGTGGAACTCGTTGCTGGAGAAGATCGGGTTCAGACTGTCGCCCAGCAGATTATCGGCGAGTCGCAGCTCGCGCAGTTGCGACTGCACCTGCAGCAGCCGATCCATCAGCCGGTAGATCGAATTACTCGAGAGGTCGAGCTTCCGCAGGTTCAGGCCGGAATTGACGATGTCCTCCGGTAGAGTCTGGTAGCCGCAGTGCCTTTGACTGACCGACACGACCGGTTGACCACGCAGGACGTTGATAGTGTCCCGCGTGAAGACTACTCTGTCGCAGTCCATCTCGAGCGATCTCGGGTAATCCGTGGAGATGGCGCATTTGCAGGGCACCAACAGGTCTCGCTTCAGCTCGATGCAGGGCCGCCATTGTGCCTGATACGACGCCGGCAAGAGGCTCAACAGCAGGAGGAGGTACACACTATAAACGAGAAGAACGTGAACGGGAATTAGAGTTGTTTGGAATCAGTATAAATATCAACTAAACTTTTCTCATTTTAATAAGTGATTAGAACAAATATGTTTCAATTCGATTAATTAACAATTGATTTAAACAAATTCAACCGAAAAACATATAATTGACGATTAACTGACAATTGACGATTAACTGACGATTTCAATGAATTTAACTAAAGATCGTTCAAATAACAATTAAACTTATATTCCTTCGGATTGTAAGAATTTCATTGATCAATTAGTTTACTGCATATTCTTACGGCTATTGAAGAATAGTTTTTAATTCATAAACTTTAATTTTCTCACTCTAAATGCACTAGAAAATAGAGCTTGTTTACATATGTCTTCATAAGTATTTTTCTTATAAATTTTTAATGTGCTTAATAGCAATCCTTAAAACCTATCTTTCTTGTTGATTATTTATCTCTTTCTGCCTCTGTTTCTCTCCCTCTCTCTCTATTTCTCTCTCTAAAGTCTTCACAATATCTTTGAAATATAAAAACACTTGGAAACTTTAATACACTTTGTATTAAACATGGCGAATTTAATCAAGAGCTGTTTAATTGGCAATTGAATTTAGTAAATTAAATTAAAGGCCGTGTAATTGATAACTGATATGAGCAGGTTCAATCGAAAAGCGTTCGACTACTTAAGGCAAGTTGGGATTGCCGTGTTACGTGTATCATTGTCTCTTCCCTTTTGTTTCAAGCATAAAATTATCCAGGTCGGAAGTAAATGACACAATCGAACACTCAGGCGGAATAGAAATTTAAGTAGCGACGCGTGAGAAAATTCGACAATTTCCGGCACAATCGTTAGGACGAAAAGAAAACACTTTCGCCAGCTGAGAGTTAGCGTTCTTCGTGCAATTATTTTTTTATGTTAACGAGATCTCGGTGAAACCGCGAGCAGCGAAGTCACGGTCGTAAGACAATCTCCGTTTTATGATTCGTCACGATTAATATTCCTCCCATGTAAATGCGTTCGAGTTTTCACTTGGTGCATCCTCACGTCGCACTTCGGCGTTTCGACTGTAAGATTTTTTACTCCGACTGAATAACAAGTAACTGCAGTCTTATATTGACATGGCCGCTATGGAAAGCTGATTAACGTAGAATTCAGCCTAAACAGTAAATTTCCGCAAGGAAAATATAAAATAAAGAAAAGATAGACGACATCCTTTGCTACATGTTGACGCGCGATAATTTAAAACTAATAACGGGATAATAAAATCGTTACATTAAGAGAAAAAGATTAATTTCGTTAAAATTATAGGAGAGAAATTACAATTACAGGAACATTATATTTTTCAATGCGTTAACTATCTTGTTATTCTAATAAAAAAGTAGTAGTAGCAAAATGCATATAAAGTTATTATCAATAATACTATAATAGTACCTATTACAAAAATAAGTGCTACTATAATAAATCTTATTATACACAGAAAAATATATATTGCATTCAAATAAATGTTACTTCTTTCAAATATTCCATAGTTTACGTACTCCGCAACTCTATTGCAAGTTCATTAAATTTTTTCAAAAAATATTCTGCACTAAGTTTAGCATTGTAACCAAAAACATGAAATTAAAACGAAAATTTAATTTATTTACTGCATTGAGCCAACTTTTTTTTATTGAGTTTAATAATAATCTTATAAAGAGAATAAATTCTTTGATTAAATATATGATAATGATCTTTTTTAAAATTTGTGAAAAGCACATTTGCACTATTATTAAGAAAATATTGTTTGTGGAAGATAATTTTCATTACTTAAAAGAAGAAATGTAAACTGAGTAATCGCTTTTCTTAGAAGCAGATTAATATCTTTTTCTGCATCTTAATTAGTCTTCAGTTGGTCTCATTAGTATAGTCTTATTAATAAGTGTTACTAATACTATAGTCTTCTCCTAACAATAATTCTTTCACTATGTAATTATAGTTATAAATATCAAGCACCTTTCTCTCAGGGTATAACGTACACTCCAGACTTTATTTCTAAACTTCTTCTCCCTCTCTATCTCTCTCCTTCCCCTTCTCCCTCCCCCCTCTTTCTCTCTCTAACGCACGCGTGAATTATATAACAGGCAGCTAACATGAACTCTAACTCAAACCCCGAGACCTTTTATCTCATAAATAATATGTTTAATATTAAATATTTCATGTCGAATTTATCTCGGTTTTACCCGAATTATATTATTAATACTATTAATATCCATTTCAACTAATTATGCATTTTTTATTCCTTTTAAATGTTACAAAAAATATTTCCTCAGCCAGGAAACTTAGACATTTCCACTTGTTGGGCGAGACACTGTACTAATTCAGTCACCGAGACTTCGGCAACATTCCTCGCAATACAAATGTTCATAAATTGTGTTTTAAATTACGATTAAATCTACGTAATAAACGTCTTGTAATAAACAACGTTTAATAAACGTCTTTTCTTTCATCTAGATATATCAACCAAAGCGTTTTGGAATGGATATTAATACATGGTGAGAATATAATAATCAAAATTACTATAGATTTTTTAATTGATTCTTTAATAGATTGACATTTTACAGTAAATTATTCTATCCTTTCATTTTATATGTGCTATTTATATTCTAGCAACTAAAATGTGCTATTAAAATATTTGCAATATTCCTAGCAAAGATTTGCAATATTTCTAGCAAATAATTTCTAGCGAAATTTACTGTTTTCCTTAGCAAAATAGACTTTACTGTCAATCTATCCCTGGAATACAAAAAAAAAAACAGTAAAATTAGAGAGAATTTATATGAAAAAAATATAATATTTTATCTGTGTAATAATAAAAATAAAAGATCGATTTGACATGGAAAGTTGGTTTACCGCGTTTGCCACTTTCAAAGATTATTATCCTTTTACAGTATTTCACACTAGCACACCGTTTAAGCTTATTTTACAATAGCCATAAAAATATACAGTAAGGGGTAAAATAAAGTAACTAATAATACTCCATTTTCTTTGGATTGTAAAAATTTCATTCATCAACTAGTCTACTACATATTCTTACGGCTATTGAAGAATAGTTTTTAATTCATAGTCCTTAATTCTCTCACTCTAATTGTATCTAGAGAATAAAGCTTGTTTACATATCTTTATAAATATTTCTCTTATAAATTTTTAAAATGCTTAAAATAGCAATCTTTAAAACCTATCTTTCTTGTTGATTATTTATCTCTCTCTGTTGTTTTCTCTTTCTTTCTCTAGAGTCTTTACAATATCTTTGAAATATAAAAACACTTAGAAATTCACTTGGTAAGTATGCGGAAATGCATGAACGCGCCTACGAAGAAAATACACGAGACATAAAACAAACGAGACAAATGATATTTTTAATATTAAATTATAAATTCCGCGGTACTTAATAGAAATCTTTAAAATCTATCTTTCTCGCTGGTTGTTCACTTCCATAATAACTTTGTTTGAAATATGAAAGCACCTGGAAATGCACTCGGCGTACAGAAACGCGCGAACACGCTTATGAAGGAAACACGCAAGACGTGAAAGAAATGAGGCGTGAATCACGCTCGCCGTCGCGATAAAAGCGATCATTTACTTAATCACGCGAGATACGCAATAATTACTCAACACCTCGTTTGAATCCTCCTCGAGTCGTTGCGCGACATTAATGACCTTTGTTAAGCAGCATCCGTAATCACCGATTGTAATTACCGGCTACGGACGATCATGCGCGACGTACAATCTCCATTGACGGACTTCTCGGCACGTAGTTTTGTATTTTGCAGTTTGTGACACACAATTTTGATGATGAGGTAAAAGTAAAGACAGTTGGCCTTATGGGAGATTTAGCGTATATGAAAAATTTCACCGTTTAATGATTCCCTGTTGGTAAATTTTTCGTCAAATCAAAGCGTAAATGAAAAAATAAAACGTCCAGTAGTCAGCATTCCGCCTATTTTCGGCACTTTTACATGGGTACTATCAATTATAAAGATGTATGGAAACTTACTTACTTATGTAGAACAATAAATTATAAATAATACTTTTAAAAATTATAATAATATTTGATAATTATCAAATAAATCTCCATAGATTTTAGTCTTTAATAAAATCCGAGTAAAAGTGCTGGAAACTGGCGAGCGCTGTTACAAGTATCGGCTACTAGACCTTTGCTCCTAACTGCAGTTGTATAAAAATGTGTAATATACTTTTGTGTGTGTGTATGTATATGTGTGTAAGAGTAATATATTGAGATAAGCGTAAATTATAAGGTACATTGAGATAAATGAATAAATATTGTAAATTATAAGATTACTATACTTTCTAAATGTTTTGGAGTGGAATCTCATTTAAAGTGAATGGAAAGTGACAGTATTTTCATTCGACGCGATAATGGAAATATTGCTATTTAAAATCATAAAAATGAATGTTTTATTCAAGCTTAAAGCCGATTCTGACTCTATATGAGTGAATGTTTGAATCGATTAGAAGAGATATGTTCCTGTGACGGTAAAATACATCAGATTCACCCTTCAGTTTCGAGTGAAAATATTCATTGGACGATTCAGAGTAGAGAATTCACTACTATCATTTTTCAAGTGAAATTTCAACCCAAGAAATTTAGAAAATACTTTATCATATACTGAATGTCCAGCTATTTTTATCGGACAACTAAAAATGGTCGATATCATTTTTAATCATTTACTTCCAAATCCCTCTAGTTTTTCTTTCACTGTCACGAAAATTTACAGAGCACCCACGAGATAGTGGGAGATTAACAACCGTCAATCCTAGGAAAATTTGTGTGATTATAAAAAGACTTGGAGAAGCCCGGAGGTAATTAAAGAAGAATGATATTATTGACCATTTTTAATTATCCAATATAAATGTCTGGATACTTAGAAAGAGAGGACTTAAGAATTAAGAGTCTCTGCCAGTGCCTCGCTAATGACAACTCTCCCACGCTGAGAGAAT